GAAGTATTTGTGTTATGGTGAAGCAAGACATCATTTGTGTTAGTTCGTAGAAAGTGAGTAAGACGGACCCAAATGTGTTTACACGTGAGTGGATAAAATTTTGAACAATTGCTGTTGCAGCATCGGGTATGTCAAATGATTTTATTATTTAAAAACACAAATTAATTTTATTAATAATTAATAAAGGCAAAAGCATTTGAATTTGCCGATATAAAATAGGTGCGATAAAATTCTATTTACATATTTCTTTCCTTGCGAAAGTTTTTGTCCGTTTTTATCACGCTTCCATACCGGTCGCACTGTGCGTGGTCAGGTTTTACAGTGGACCAGTTTCCAGTGCCGTGCAGAAGTGTATTTTTAAATCAACTTCGAACTGACCTTTTTGATTTTTTCTTTACAAAATTATATTTGTAAGGGTCCCCTGTACATCCAGAACATTTTTTTTGGATAAGTTCTGAATCACCTTGTATATTGCATTCACAGGAACAAAGACGAGCGGCAAATAAGAAATCTATATCTAAAACACTTGGAATAACTTAAAATATTTTATGGTTCATATTCAGCAGTCTATATTCCAATAGGCATTTTGTATACATCAGGGTGTTTCAGTTCGAGTGAATCAAACTTTAACCACAAATAGAAGTCAATAAATAATTGCCAGAATTGCCTTATAAAGCAAGGGTTTAAGTTTCACCGTTTTCACTGTACAGGGCCGTATTGGTTGGTTTTTAAAATCATATTTATGAAATCTTTGCTATGCTTATAACGAACTGATTCATATTTGGTGTGGTGTTAACATTTACATATACATACACTTAAATTTAAAGATGACCTTAAATTATAAAGTAATTCTTGATATATTCTATAGGTCTCTTAAACGTTACTTTAAAATCTAAAAAATATATTTTTTTAGCTTTCCAGTAGATTTTCCAAGATTCAAAACACTAGTGAAAATTACAAGATTAAAGTTTAAGTCTCTATATCCTGTTACACTTGATAACGTGTGGTGCCGCTAATGACCCGAGTTAACTTTGCACACTACACCTAATGTAGAAATTGTTATCGACATTTTTAAATAACATAAATTTGAAGGAAAATGTTTGCATTATAAAACTTTCAAGTGGAAACCTGAATCAAATTAATGCACTAGTAACAAAAATGTTTTCATATATCTCTTGTTAAATGTGTCAAGATATTTTCGATATGCATCATGTCAATCATATTTATGAAAGGTTTAAATCAGTTATTTTCATCTACAATCGACAAAACACGAAAGATGTGGGTAATTTTCACATACTAGATTTGAAAAATATGATTATTGTTTATTTGAGGCATTTTATTTATTCTGAGAGTGGGCTGAGCTGTTTAATTTCTGCAGATAGTTAAATAATAATAAACTAACTATATAAATTTCACAGACTATCACAAAAGTATCATACATTTTTCAACATAACCATTAGACATTTTGATGTCTGTAGAGATACCAAACGTTTTATACTAAAACACATTTTATATATTTCTTTTAGTTTCCTCATAAATTTCAATAACACTTGCCAAATTTCCTAAATGTTAAAACTAAGGAAGTTAAGAATTTTGCCACCTTCAATACCAGCGCCAAATTTAAAGATCCCATATGCACATCCTAGGTACAAGGTTTTCAAAATAATTGTAAAAAATTTAAGCCGTTTTTTGAAGGATCAAAAGTTCTTAGTCAAATAGACTAGTAAAACCATGGGTCCATTTCTCCGTTTATTTTAAAAACCATTTAATAAAAAAAGCCCTGACTGATATCACTTTCGACTCACACGTTTATTTCAACGATTTTTAAATTTTTTTCAAGGTAGCAAAATACTTCAATAAATAAATAAAAATGTAAATATATGCCACAAATGTATAACTTCAGACAATATCTTATTTTTGGGTTTAATCTTGGGTTTAACAAAATTGATAAAGCGTGGGTTAATGATTTAAGTACAACTTATTGAATTGTTATAATAATGCCATGCCATCCAATGGTAAAAATACTGATAGGTACTACCAGGGCTCTGTGTTGGGCCCTGTATTGTTTTTACTATATATAAATGATATACATGCTGTTTTATCTAATGTTCACATCACAATGAATGAGGATGATATATCTTTTCTTGTTGCAGACACTGATTGGAATGTATTGGAGAATAGATGTAATTTTCTTTTAAATGATCTACATCAGAGGTTTAATAAAAATAATCTTTATATGAATCCAGCAAAAACTCGCTCGGTAATATTTCATAATCGCCAAAAATCGGGTAGCAACTTATGTTTGAGAATTAATAATAGCCCTATCAATAGCGAATGTCAAGTAAAATTTTTGGGAATTAATTTTGATAAAAACTTATCTTGGAGATATCACTGTTCCAGTCTTTGTTCCAAACTGAATTCCGTATGTTATTTGTTTCGAAATCTTCAAAAAGTGCTTACGACACAACAGCTTATAGATTTATACCATGCTCAAGTAAGAAGTAGGTTAGCATATGGCACCTGTTTTTGGAGTGGGTCTACTATGACTAATGATATATTTTTGTCAAAAAAAGATATTAAGATGCATTGCAAATGTTGGTCGTTTGTGTTCGTGTAGGAATTTATTTAAGAATTACCGTATTTTAACATTACCGGGTTTATATATATTTGAATTAACTGTGAATATATTCAAAAATAAAACTGAATTTATTAATAATATCGACTCTCGTCGGGTTAGTACCCACCACCGATAAGATTTTTATATACCTTTTAGAAAACTAAATGTCACTAAAAATTCACCAAGTTGTTTGGGCCCTAAGATTTTTAACAAGTTGCCAGGTGACATAAAAGACTGTAATACCTTATGTCTGTTTAAAAAACGACTGAAATTTTTCTTATTGGATCTATGTCCATATACAGGGTTCATAGTTCAAAAGTAATGAAGAATTCCCTGACTTTTCCAGGTTTTCCCTGACTTATAAAAATAAAATCCAGGTCACTTGTAGTTCATTTTTACATACTAATTGGTGTTTATGCATTAAATTTTTTCTCGACTGGACTCCATAATCTTTTTTATACCCTAAGAACCTCTTATAAAGGTTTCAAAACCACAAATAGTTTTCTCTTTCAAGAACACAGGGCCGGCTTTCACAAAATTTCCAGTTGCAANAAAAATAAGAAATATGAATTTTTTTCTGGACCTCGTTCAAAATTTTCAAAAGTATCCGGACCCCACCTAAAATTACTTGCCGACCCCTGGTATAGTCAATGTTCAAATATCTATAACAAACATATGTAATTTAATATTACAGAATAAGAATAAATATTAAAAGTGCAGAAAATTCTCTCCCATTTTAAATCTTTAAGCTAGCTCTCTTAATTCCTTGGAGGTCACCAATAGACCAAGCAAGTTAGACAATAAATCAGCAATTTTTTTCTGATGAACCGATTGAGTTGCAGTTTTCGACATTGTCTTCGGAAAAATATCAGGAAAAAAGTCTATATATTACACTTTGGGGCTGGATCGAAACTGCATTGCGGGTGCATAAAGTGCATCTTGGAGTGCATCAATTTTTCCGAATTTTCCAAAAATGGTAAAAATTGACTAAAAATTGTAGAAATTAGGTTTTCGGGGTCGGAGATTCCGAATCTGACCCTGAAAAATATGCCCGAAGGCCCTGGGGCTCTTCAGTGGGGCAAGGGGGAGCCTTCTGTAAAACATCGAATAGCTGAGTAATTGCCTTCTAAATCCCCACCCGGGGGTTTTTGGGGTCAGGGATTTCTATTCTGACAGTGAAACGTATGTCCAACGCCCCTGGGGCCCCCCCAGGGGGCAAGGGGGGCCTTCTGTAAAACACCGAATAGCTGAGTAATTGCCTTCTAAATTTCCACTCGGGGGTTTTTGGGGTCGGGGATTTCAATTCTGACACTGATAAGTATGCCCGACGCCCCTGGAGNGTCGTATTAGTTTTTAGGTTTTCTTTGACACATCCTTATACAATTGTACATATTGTCTCTGGGAATAAATCAGATTATTATTATTATCATTATCATTATCATTATCATTATTATTATTATTATAAAAACCTCAAATTTTTTATGCCATTGACTATTTTCAAAATTCAATCAGTATAATTCATTATGGCATTGTTAAAGAAATAAAGAAAATTTCTTCAAACTAATTTTGAAACATCCTATGTATGCAGTCAAGTGTTTTAATTACAGTTTTTAATTTCACATTCCACAGTTAACTTCTTAAAATTTCAAAACTAATGACTAACCAACAGGAGAAAATTTTGCATGATCTCTTCCACAACCTTTCACTGCTACCAACTTCAAATCCAGTTCATGCCCTGGTCTCATTTTTGCTATTAATATGTCTGGATCAATCGGGCCAACATCAGACTCCTTAAATTTTTCTTTTTGATTTCCCATTGGAATCCATTTAATATGTTTTGAATAAACTACAAATAAATATGTCTGTTAACAGCTAAATTATATCTCTACCAACTATCGACTATAGCACTGAATATAAAATATTTATGATGCAATACAGAAAATTTGTATATATCTCTTCCTCGGGAATATATACAAATTCTTCATACTAAAGACATTTAATTTTAAATGACATATCCAATATATGTTTATACAAATAGATATGCTTACCATTGTTATTTTTATACATATCCTCAGCTCTTGAAGAATCCTTTTTATTACTTTCTTTATTATAACTGCATTTAATTTTTAGCTCATATTCTAATGTATCTTGTTCTGTTCCTTCAGTATTAACTAAAGTAACAAACAGTAAATTATTAGTAAATATTATATAATGTGACCCATTAGAAACCAGACATCCCTTTATAAATTTCGTTATGATTCAAAAACATTTCTATTAAATCGTAGTACATTTCTTAATCTGTTCCATTATTCTGTTTTAATGAATCTCCGTTTGTAGCAGCACACTGGGACTCTTTTGACAAGTTGCCAACAATTGTTTACATTATATTGATATTTCTTAAAAATTACAACATATCAAAAAAGTTTGTATTTTTATGCATAAAATTTATAATTTAAAATTTATATTAAAATTTGTTTATAGGTATATAAAAATTTAAAGATTTAAGTTTATAATGCTTTTTAAATCGGCCAGTTTGCTGGTTATAATAATTGGTAAATAATAGAATTTGCTGGGGACCGCCTAGCCGGGTGTCTTGGCCGGCGGATTTCGATCTGCCGAGTCAAGCATCACGGATGTGGGCTGGAATTTGGATGGGTGACCTAAGGCAGGCTCGGGGACGTGGCTGTAGCAGCCTACCAAGAGACCTGGGTCGCCCAACATTTGCCGCACGCTTGTGGTCCCCGATAAATGGTAATGAGAGCAGAGCGAAAAATCTCTGTAACTCAAGACCATGCTATCATACATAAACTGTACGAGACTTTGCCACCAAGCCATCCGTGTAGTAAATAAGATGGTTTGAAGAAAAGTACTCGAGTAATGAAGGAGGGTGTACAAGGGGCCTAATAAGGCTTAAGTGCCGTGGTGGAAGACAATTCCACCACCCCTCCGACATACATACATACATACATACATACATACATACATACGTACGTATTAATAAAATCTCAGTATGAAAATCTATAAAATTATTTTCCAAAAGATCATTCACAAAATAAATTCTCAAAAGCCACAGATTATCAACAGGATCATCGTTGTTAGTTCAAGGACTACATCTAGAAGGCCACTATTAATACAAAAATCATTCAAATCACTTAAACAATAAATTTATAAGGGATTCTGGTTCTTAATGGTCAACCCCATGTAAGTGTTTCAAGCTATAAGAACTTTTATATTATAACATTTACCATCTCCTTTATATTCAAATAAAGTTGGATCAGCTCGCAATGGAATTAGTCCTAGTCTATGGGCTAAAACTTCATCTTGGATTATTGAAGTATTATTATTTATATAAACCTTTTCTATAGCCATACTGGGCACATCACTCAGCATAAGTCTACGAAAAGTATTGGCTAAAAAAGGATGTATGCCTATTAAGTCAAATTCCATTTCGTAATTTTCATTGCGGACTATAACAATTCTAAACTTTTTTTTGAAATCTTTAATATTAAATGGTTCTGTTAATACTGTGGGACCACTTGTGAAATTCTGAAAATTTAAATATACATAATTGTTAAAGTGAATATAATATTTCAATCAAAATGTGAACTTGCAAAAATATGTCACAACTTATAAATAGTTTTTCTTTAGCACTAAAAGCGAGGCAAAAAGTATGATAAAATATTTTTAAAAACTGCCGAAAATAAAACAAGATAAACACAAATTTATTTAAAAAAAAATTACTGCAATTCAGTCAGCAAGTTTATCTTTAAACTTTTATTTTATATTTAAGTCATGGGATCCTTAAGGTGGTGTTCGTACAGTTGTGCGAGCATCTTTATGCTGTCACATATTTTTTAGTATTTAAATGTAAATTAATGTCTGGCCCATTTACCAACTTATTTCATGCTTACGATTCCCTGCTATTATGTACTTATAAATTTTACATAAAAGGCAAGTTCGGTATTAACATCTATAAATACTCCAGATGTGTTTTGTTCTTTTCTAATTGTTAAGAGATGAAAAGACAAAGAGTAATATCTACAGCATCTAGATGTCAATACCGACCAAACTTGCCATAAAGAATTACTAACCAAGATAAGCATAAAAGTTGTAAAGATGAAGTTAATCTGAACTAGTTGCAAGTTATTAATTAACATAAACACACCACAGAAATGAGAATTGATTGATTGATTGAATAAATATTGTATTTTTCTCTTCAAAACTTTTCTACATTTATTGCCAGAGCTTCCTTTATTTTAATAAACAGTATTGCAATTTGGTACATACACACGATAAGCGAATTAGTAGCTAGGTACCTAAGTCGTCTAAATTATTTTTTTGCTTGAACAAATACAATTTAAACATTTATTACTGTTGTTAAAGCCTGATGATATCAACTTACCTGTGATATTTTATACTCATTTAAGAGAACTCGAGGCTTTTCATCATTTAATTCCATCCTTTTACCATCTGACATGAAAATACATAAACATAACCAAAAACTAACTAATTTCTTCTTCTCCTTCTCTTTATGGCCTTCACCCAGAGGGTATTTAGCCAGCTTCACAATTTTCACTTCATTCTGTGAATTGTGAATTAAAGGTAATTCTACTTCTCCCAAATAAACTTCCAAAATCACTTGTTTATATGTTTTATAATCACTACCATAGACTAGAGATGAGATATCTGGTTCATTTTTTTTGACCCGGTTCACGAAACGAAGACAACGACACACACACATACACCCGCCCTCNGAATTAAAGGTAATTCTACTTCTCCCAAATAAACTTCCAAAATCACTTGTTTATATGTTTTATAATCACTACCATAGACTAGAGATGAGATATCTGGTTCATTTTTTTTGACCCGGTTCACGAAACGAAGACAACGACACACACACATACACCCGCCCTCCCATACACTCCTTTCCCCTCCCATCCCCCGCTAGACTAAGGGCCTCCTTAGCAAAGCGCATAGCCGCACCACCCTACCCAACCATAAACATGACCTCACCCCCGGGGTTTACACAGACGAGCCGGCGAAGCAAGAAGAGCGCCAGAAGAAAGGGCACTAGCCGGCGGGGCCCAGCCAGGACAAAAGGAGGTC